TTTAGGGTCGAGGTTCAGGGGTTTAGGGGATCTAGGGTTTAGGTTTTGGGGTTGAGGGTGTGGGATTTACGGTTTCGGGATTGGGGTGTATTGTTTCGGGCTTGGGGTTTTGCAAGGTTTCGGAGCTGAGGGGTTCGAAACAGGCTTCTGTAAGGAGACTGTACAGGGCTTTGTATGATTTCAACATACCGGCCGCAATTACGAGAGCAGGTTTCGTTTGAGCTTCGGGGGTATGTTATACTACGATTATGAGGGCCTGTCAGGAAGTTTTGTTATAATAGGCATATTATTGCTATTCATGCACACCCCTATATTGAGGTTCGGGGAGGTCGGGGTTGAAAGGCCTGGAGTTTGCGGTGTATGGTCTTGCAAGGTTTGGGTTGGAATGCTCGGGAAAAAAGTCTGCGCTTTCGACTTTAAGCTTGAGGCTTACTATAGGGGCCTTAACAATTAGAATGGGGCTTTGGGGCCCTGTATACTATAACTACAATATGGAACCCCCCAAAATAATATAATTTTGCAGGCATCCCACTCCCACAACTGCCGGTGGAGACGCCTTCAGAGGTGTATCCGATTCGAGAAAAAATCTGACGGTTTCTAGCTTGCGGCCTAGGGCTTCGGGGCTTACTTCGGGCCCCAAACTCTTTAAACCGAAACCTGAGATGAACACCTTGAGTTGGGTTTGCGGTCTAGGGTTTATAGCTTCAGGGTCTGAAGTCTTGGACCTTGGTACGCTGAGGTCTGCACTAACCAGATTTGAAGGGATACTGTTGCCAACCATTCACTTGTTAGTTCCTGTTCGACTCGTTGAGGCCCGGCCTATTTGCCGGTTTCAGCAGTGGGTTCATCATGTTCTCGGCTTTCTCAAACTACAGAGGTTGCCTACCTCAACCCTAAACCGTTCAGGTTTGTCTCAAGTTACATAGGCTCCCTAGACCCCAAACCCTAAACCCAGTAAGTTCATGAGCACCGAAGGAGGCACTAATTCGAAAGGTAACTATCTTTACGTCTTCTCGGTGCTCTTCTAGTGAAGCTGGCAGGGCTGAACTTGCTTGGGCTTTATCGACAACATAGGGGCCTTAATAACTAGAACAGGGTTTTGGGTTATACTATACTATAGCTACAATATGGAACCCCAAAATAGGTAGCCATTAAGGTCCCTAAAGGCTTTCTTTAGCTTTCTATGTTGGATGTGTTCTGCAAGACTTTGACAGCACCTGTGCCTTACATGCAAAAAAAAGTAATAGCTGCGCCAGGAGACACGAAGCCCTAAAAAGACAGACGCTATGTCACTATATGTGTGGAGCGGCTGCCGAAGGCTGTACTACACGTAGTGGGTCGAACTACCCAGCACAGCTATCATTCCAGAGTCGGATCTGTAGCAGGGGCTCCTGTTGTTGAGCACTCAGGAAACTCGCTAGCACGTTGCAATTAACAGCCACACGTCACTAGTCAGTAGCCATGACAACATAGTGAACTTCATCAGTTTCTGGCTCTTCGTAGGCCTTGCCTCCTGCACTGGCATATGGTCCCACACTCGCTGTTGAATTCTGAAGAATCATGTTTAGGGAATCTGTTCGGGCCACAGTCACGCTAGCAAATTTTGGAAACACATCCTGTGCCTGTTCCTGCCAGCTCGTGCGCCCATGGCTTGTCGGGGACCACTCATCGCCTGAGCTACTCAGAGAGACACGCGGGCGATGCACACATCCCAAAATGTATAGTATAGGGGCCTTGATGATTGGAATAGGGTTTTGGGGCCCACTAAGCTATAATTATTCTAAGGAACCCCCAAAACAGTATAGGTAATAATTTAGGCCCCTTTATTACGTTGCATGGCATCGCCAGACTCCAAATGGCCAAGTACCACCATGAGAGAATATCGGATGAAACACGTGGTGGTTCCTTTGCAGCATCCTAAAACTCGTAGCCGATGACATACAAGCATCAGAAACAACAACCAGCACGGCCGCCACCGCCAGCACCAGCACGAGCACGAGCAGGAACACCAGCACCAGCGCCAGAACCGGCACCAGCAGCACCGCCACAACGGCCACCACCACCACCACCACCGCCGTCGCCGCCGCCATCACCACCACCAACAACAACATCCAGAACAAGTAGGAAAGAACAGAAACAGTAGCCCTATCCGAACAACAACTGTAACAATTTCTTGCTTGTCTTTTTCTGTAATGGAAGAGGCAAATCCTTGAGTGTCGTAGACTGATCCTGCGGGGCGTGTTGTTGGCCCTTGGATGTTTGGTCTCGTCTAAACGCCCGCTACCCCGCGTTACTCTGAAGGGGAGGGGGAGGGGGTTGCCGCTTTGGTGCCTACCCGCACTCCTACTCCTACTGCTGCTGCTCCTGCTGTTGCTACTACTGCTGCTTGCAAATTACTGCTAACTACTGCTACTGTTACCATGACTGCTACAATAGCTACTACTCCTGCTGCTAGAATACTGCTGATACTGATGATACTGCTTCCACCACCACCAACACTTGGACTGCGACTGCGCGCACGAGTATGACGTTAGCGCTACCAGTACCACTTGATACGATTTGCAAGTCCGGCTACTAGTCTGACCACCGACACTACATACTAAATTAGTCTTACCTGCACCTCCGTCTGTGCTAGTTATTCCAGCCTAGGCTGGTCATACTACAGCAAAACACCACTTCTCAGCCATTTCTTGAATATCGGCCTTTAGGGCTGAAATGTTGATTTCAGGGTAGAACGGGCTTGGGTGCATTTCCTCGAAGGCTGATCGTGTTCTTGACGCTTGATTTCAGTGCAGGCCATTGCAGGCTGGCTCCGTGTATTTCGTGACAACAATATGCTCATAGATCTTCCAGGCCAGGCACAAGCAACATGCACCGACAATGACACGTAGGCAGTTTCATGAAGTTAAGTCGAATGGGTGCATGCCAGTGCACCATCCATGGATATTCCATGCTGTGGTGAGTTGCTGCTCCGCCCGGTCGGTGCGCCCTGTGATGTGCAAGCTTTGCATGCCAGTACTGTTGGGCATGGATCGAGCAGTCAGGCATGCTCCTGTGCATGATTGGCCGGCAAGTGCAGCCGCTTTAGATCGAACGCCGGTCCACTCATCATGAAACAAGTGTGAAAGAGCATCGCATGGTGTAGAACGTAGGATGTCTTTGCAAGATTGCAAGATGCTTTGATGTGCGAATGGCAGCTGCTGCACCGTGTAGGCAGGGTATACCCAAGGTGTCGAAGCTTTGCGGTATATGCTCTCGACAGGTCTAGCGGACATGTCCGAAAACTTCTGGAAGGATGCCTTTGAAGCACTCGATTTTCCCCAGGACCTTCCTGTGTAGCATGCGCACTTTCCAAAGATAATACTCTCCCCTGGAAGGACCCACCGCTGAGCTATGCTGACAAGGTCAAGATGGTGGTGCAGAATTATGAGTTGAAGGGCATCGTTCACCACCTTGTTCAGATGTGGGTGAAGCGCTGTGACTAGGCTAGTTGCGCAAGTTAGTGTGTCGTGCCGGGTGTTCGCAATAATCTCAGGTGAGCGTGAGGAGAAAGTATCTTTTCTGAATTGGCCATGATACATCAAAACGAGCCCCCCACCCACTTGTGCAACCCAACAGCCCAGGAAGAGGCAGAGAAAAAACCCAAGCCAGCGATGTCTCCCTCGCCGTGATGGGCCGAGCTCATAGGAGCATAGTCTTCGAAGGATTGCCATCAATGGTCGTTGGGCTATAGCCACGTTTTGTGTAGAGCGCAGTGCTTGACTGCCATTGCAACAGAAGTGGAAAGACTTGCTTGTGCAGAGTGCTTGCATTGCTGATTCAAGCGATGTAGAGGGCTCATTATGTGCGGTCACGAGAGGTACTGCTGAGTGTCGCCGGCTCTGCTGGAGCGCAAGTAACAGCCGCTCTGCACGGATCCCAGCTGGAGTTGCCACTGTGCTGTGTTCAAATTTCACTATGTGTGATATCGTGTGCCCATGAGGAGTGAAATGGGTGCAGCCTTTTTTCCCCAAGCCCATTCAGTGGAGTTTTGTTATAGTGTGTGCTCAGCATGGCAGCGCAGCCGGCAGCACGCAACAGAAAAGGGGCCTGCAGTGGCATAGCTCGTGTGCCGAATGTTGAGCTGACAGGGCTTGCAGCAGAGTGGGAAGGTGTCGAAGACATCCGCAGGCAGGTGCTTATCAACCGCCGCTTGCTGCAGTGGTTGTCTGCAGAGCACGTGGGAGTGCCGTGCTTCAAGAGTGCCAGCATGAACTTCAGTGTTCTCGAAGCCTTCTTTCGGAAATGGGTGCAGATATCCCCAACTTTGAAACGCACGGCTGGCCAGCCGGCGTGCAAAAAGGAGGCCTGTCGATCTCGGTTACCCACTTAGTTAGTTAACTCTATATATGCAGATCCCTGGATACCCAAAATGGATCGATGCATGCATATCTCGATCAGTGAACTCCCCTGACACCACACCCACTTATCCTACTTTACCCAATATCCCGTACATAGGCTCTTTTTTTATACCGGTGCCGCATCCCTGCAGGTATGTCGGCTCTTTGAACTTCTGCACCAGGTGCCTGGCAACATTCAAATCGAACTCGATGGGTGGGGTCTTCGGAAGTTCCTGAGTATGTTCATCCGGCGTTTCAACCACCCCAGCAGATCTACGGATTCTGTGGCTGCATCTTTGGTTCATCGTGAACTTTGGGCTGATGGTAGGCCGTTGTACTCATTCTAGAACACACTGCTGTCGTTTGTTTTACATAGAATCCAAAAGCATGCACACATCTGAGGACCCGAAGATCAGAGCCCTCAAGCGGATCCTACTTGAGGCCTGGGATCCAGAACGACTCTGGGAACAGGCTGAACTGCCTGAGGTTACTTGATTTCATATCCATGCAACCCCGTTTATAGCTCTGAAAATAACCTCAAAGCGATCTTTTAAGGAGCCTGAGCCTGAGACGGATGATGCTCCTCTGGAGGATGACTTGGATTTGGAGTTGGATGATGAGATGGAGGGTCTTCCATCAAGTGATAGCTTCGAGGATGCAGACGACGAGGAAGTTCTCCGGGACTTGGTAGAGAGCCCAGCGGACCTTCCTGCCCCGGCGAACAATTCCGAAGAGACCCCAACGGACTTTCCGGCCCCTGCCTTGAACACTTCCAAAGAGATCCCCACGGACTTCCCCGCCCCGGTTGTGGCCTGCAGCTCTTCCGCTTCGTCATCAGGCTCCGCAGCCCCTGCCCCACCAGTTGAATGCATTGAGATTCAAGATGACGAGGAGATCGTCACCCCGAATCCCAAAAAAGCATGGCACTCCGAGGATGGTTCAGGGGAGAAGCTTGAGCGCTTGAAGCGATTGAAGGCAAACCTGAGTCAGCTACAGTGCCTAGGATCATTTTGACAGATGACATTCCTCTTAGTGTTGTCCGTTGCCTTACTATAGCCACGCAGCTTGATATTATAAACCCTATAAAAGCCCGTATCCCCTAACTGGCATGCATAGCAGCCCTAAATAGCCTAGAATAATAACCCTGAGCCCACCAGCGCCCTCGACGCTGCTCAGGAACCGCATCTCAATGCAGAAGAAGGCCACACCCGATGTCCCATCGAGCCTCGACCAGCCATCAGCACCTTCCATGGCTTCAGATCCCAGTGCCTCAGCGCATTCTCGACTTCAGGGTGTTTTCCAAGCTTCTTCGATTCATGCATCACACCTGCCTTAAGGTACGGTGGACACCCAAACCTATGATGCTGATGCCGCAATGCAAGTGCTTTGCAAGCCTGTGATCATTGCTGACGATAAACCTGTGGACGAGCCCCGGGGCAGTCAAGTTGCTGCTCCGACCCCTGACGATGACACAAGCACCAAGAAGCCCGAAGCCCCAAAGGATGTGACATCCAAGCCGAAGGCTGACCGTGCTATGGAAGTCCGTTCAGGCAAGAAGCTGCCTCAGGCTCCCGCCGAAGTGGCCTCCGAGACTGCTGGTCTCAGCTTGTTGACCCCAGCTGGTGGCCTCTCAGAATGCACGGGCAATCCCGACATGGCTGCACGTGCTTCGATGTACGACAGCAAGGTATGCGATGCACGAAAATAGCTAGCAGCTAGCTTACGTGTGCTCATTAACGACATTCGTGGTATGTGATTCATGTATGGTACCTGCAAGGTAGCTGCTCCATCGAAAGAGGCTCAGGATGAGCAGCTGAATGCCGTTCAGCTTGCTGAGATCGAGGCGACCGAGAGCAAGAAAAAGGGCAAAGGATACCAAAAAAAGCCAAAATCCAAAGCGAAGGCAAAGGCCAAAGGCAAAGCATCCAGCGCCCGGGCATGCCCAGCAGAGGAGCAGGATGACAAGGAGCAGGATGACAAAAGCAAGGACGGTGAAGAGGAGCTGCAGGAGGATGGTAAGAGCGATGCCGCCAGGATCCCGTGCCGCCAGAAGCGCGGCAGTACGGTCAAGGCGAAGCCTGAGCAGGAAGATGCAAGACCAAAGAAAAAGGCCAAGCCAGCCAAGGCATCTGCAAAGGCGCCAGAGGAAACGAAGGAGCCGGAGGAGACAAAGGAGCCGGAGGACACAAAGGAGCCGGAGGAGACAAAGGAGCCGGAGGATCGAAAGGAAGGGGAGGAGGAACCGCATGCAGCCCCAGCCGCCAAGCGCAAGCCCGGCCGGCCCAAGGCAAAAGCATCGCCCAAATCCAAGGCCAAGGACCCAGCTGGTCGGGAGCCCAAGGATCCGAAAGCTTTGCAGGATGATCGCCGCAAGAAGCGGGCAGCGAACAAGGAGAAAATGGATTCGTATGAGTTGGCCAAATTCCGTTACACGATGTATGTGGTTTACTGGACCAAAAATGGTGTGGGGCTAAAGCTGCGCAACGTGTACGATGCCGGAAAGCAGGTGGGGTTGTTATACACATGTGTGCGTGCACGTGGCATGCATGCATATATGGTCATCATGCTAAGCCTCTCAATCTTTGCAGGTGTTCTACATTGCTGGGAGCCCATCCATGAAGGACAACCTGGATTGCGCATGCTTGGCCGTGACTTCTACTGCATGTGCGAGGTTTCCACGTTCTGTTATGGCAATAGAACCTATATGCACGTCATACGAACCATGCGCATGACTCTAAGGCGCAAATCATCGAGGAGGCCCACGGTGATATGTCAGACTCGGTTGTGGAGAAGCTGAATCAACTCAAGGAAACAATGAGAGCCACTGGGGTTGCCAGGCGACTCTGATAGTCGCTTGATCCATGCTTTTGAAAGCTGTTACACTAGTTTTGCTCCGGCTGGCCACGGCAGGATTCCTGCAGGTATACTTGCAACTCGAAGGGTCGATTCATTATACCAGCTGTCCCAACTATGTAACAAATTTTGGTTTGTGGCCTGCTGGGTCCTACGTGATGTTGCTTGGCCGGAACGGTCTTGAACCTGTGACTGTAGTTGTTGCTACAGCGCGGGCCGTTTCTGTGAAGTGGTGCTCAAGCCACAATTCGTGCAGGGCACGGTCAATCGGCCGGCTGCCGGCAGGGGTGTGCTTTGTTTCAGTAGTGCACAAAGATTTCAATGGGGGCTGGCTAAGCTGACTCTGTACACATGCAAGTCCGTGCTACCGCCGATCGCAGAACAAAGCAGCCGACAGGTGTGATCGCACACAGCAGCTCCCTCTGTATCATTCGATGTGCACATGCTAGCTGCTAGAATCTAGACTATTCAGTACACATCTAGATCGCTTTGGTGCTCAGGTCTGTGAATGCCACTTCTGAAACACGCCGTGAAGTACGGCCTGGTCTCTTCTTCGCCCGATGCAGGTGCTTCCTCCCGCCTCGGCATTGCAATTTGCAGGGGTTGCATGTATGATAAGGGTTAAAGTAGCTTTCATCGTGTGTACTTGGGTTTCACTTATATGGTGAAGAATGCCAGGGGGTGCAGCTTGGACACACTACCTGGTTTACACTGCTAGATTCGGTTATTGATGCATACATTGTACTACACACATATGTGTATGCAAGCTTTGTATGCCTAGTCTGTACATATATATATATACATGCATGTGCTTGTGTGCATGCATGTGTACATGCACATTTATATGAGTGTCATGCATGCATACTAGATGTTTATGCACACTCTTCTATTCTACGGGGTTAGTATGTCTAGAACCACATGACATCTGAGTCTCGTGCTGGTGCTACACTCGCCGGATGAAACCAGGTTTCTAGAAGCTATATAGTGCATTATCATAGATTATAGCCGGCCCTTGTCAAGTACCCTTTTCGAGAGCCTTTGGTTCTGGTGGGGCAAAGCCTCTATAGCAGTTATGGTCCGTAGTGCTGAGATGGACATGGTGGCCCGGAGACTTATCTCTCTCCAGGCGCCGAAAGAAACTTGGATACCTTAGGAAAGTTAATGGTAGGGTGGTGATCGTTCCGTTGACTTTTATTTCGGAAACTCAGGGATTCTTATTGCTGGTTCTCTTGGTCTCTTGGCTGAGCTCTACACGCTTAGATGACCGGGAATACCAGGTGGTGGAGTTCTTTGCTGGTGTATCTATGGTGGCGAAAACAGGGAGGATGCTAGGGTTGAAAGCAGCAGCCTTAGACTTGGACTTTGACCGTGTAACGAATCGACCTGGTGCAATGGATTTGCGAACTCCAGCGGGTTTTGTGTTTCTTGGGCAATCTAGAACCCTGGCTTCCTTGTGCTATAGGTACCGTCTAGCAAATCCCCGACAGTTCCCCAAGCCTATAGCGAAGATTCCCACACAAGGCTAGCCATTACGGCAATCCTACGGGGCAAGTTCGGAGACCTGCTCACCACCTGGGCAGTGTGCTGCTGTTCGTGGATCATCACGAGCCGCGGCTCCACCTGGAGAAGTGAGATTCTCCCTATGGGGAACCAGAACTACCCTCGAGTAAGGGATGCGAACCTTCTTGCAAGCAGGTCATGTGCCAAAAATGTTTAGTTTGGCTAGACTATAACGCAACCCCATGAAAGTCCTTGCATCCCATGGCAGGCTCAGCCTGCTTCTCCTTTTGGTGAACGCAGTTCAGGGCACTTGGCTGGTCGAACAGCCTGGCAGCTCTCTTCTCTGGCATCATGAGAGGCTAGCGGAACTTGCCCAGAAGCGCACTCGCGGGATCTCGTTGTGTGTGGCTTCGGTGTATCAACAGTTTCGATGGTTTATTTCAGCTGTTGTACGAGTTGCTACACATAATATGACATTACGGTTGATGATATAAATCCTGCATTACCCATAATAAGGAATAGACCATAATTCCCATAGTTTAGGGTCCTTATAAAAGGTAATGCAGGATTTATATCATCAACCGTAGTGCTGTTCGGGTCAGGTTTGGAGACAATCTTTCTGGATGCTGTCGTACAACTCCCCTTCTCCTAAGCGGACGGTATGCTGGAGCAGCAGTGCCGCCGTTCGATGGTTCGATAAGGGGCCCGTGAAAAAGACGCACCTCAAAGAAGGGACAAAGGTCAAAACCGTCGATGCCACCTATGATGCCAAGGGCAAAAGGCGCTACACTGGTAATGCAAACCTCCAGAAGACACAGCTCCTCTTCCAATAGTCTGTGTTAGTTGTCATAGATTGAATTCTTCTAATGTAGAGAAATTAAATAATCCAGCGATACGTGATCGCGGCCCACAGCAGCTGAGGCAGTATACTCCGCGGTTTGCAAGGAGAATCATGCAACTTCGGTCATCCCTGCTTGCCCAAGACTCCGCCAAGACCCTGAAGGTTTCTGGGTTCCCAAAATCACACCATTACAATCCTGATTGAAGTACAGGAGCCTGAGTCCAAGAATTTACAGTACATGGCAGGTGTGTATATGTGTGTGCATATATATATATGTACATATACTAGCTTCTGTATAATATATATATATATATATATATATATATATTATTATATATATACACCACCCATGTGCATGCATATTATGTGTGTGATGTGTGTATGTCATGTAACAACACAATCTACTGGAAGAGAACAGACTACGTAAGGTATGCATCACACGTATATACATGCATACATCCACCATGATATATGTACATAATATATGTATATACACACATACCCCCCAATAAGCAGGACTTGACCACTTCCACATATCCCCCAATAAGCAAGACTCGACCACTATCCCCAATAAGCAAGACTTGACTTTCACTCTACCAGTGCGACTCTACTTTGAGACTACTTAAATATATTTGTTTTTATCCTAGGCAGTATGCAAAAGGTCCTTTGGCACCCCGCTGATCATCGTAGTTCCTAAGCTATCGGTAATAAATAAATAAATACAAATTAATATCTTCGACCAGGTGAACCACGACCTGGACTTGAAAGATGCTTTCAAGAGCCTGTCCTACGATGACCGGTTCGATGATGCGCAGCTAAGTTCGGCAGTGCATTACGTTCGGGGCAGTAAACTGCTTCGGATTCCAGATGAGTGGAGAGTCTTGTTACCGGGATCTTTTTGAAATGAGTGTGTGCAGTGCCGGTGTGGCAGAGCTTGGCAAGGACTGGGGTATGACAGTACGATCCCAAAGAATGCACCTTGAAACCCTTAGTGTCCTGAATTCTCAAAACAAACCCGGTCTTGCACCCACGACCTTGTCGAGAGCAGCTTTGTGCACGCAGCCCGGGGTACACAGCCGTACCCGACCCGAGGGCGTATTTACCCAACCTGGGGGCGTATTTATGTGATAGGGTTCGGGTCGGGTACCCACCCGTACCCCCGACCCGTACCCACCCGTACCCGCCCGTACCCCCTGTAAGCCTCAATTCCGGCAGTGTTCTGGCCCATTCTTAACGAAGCCCCAGCAGGAGCCTTTGATAGCTATAGGATCGGCCTCTACTAGGCTGCTAGCTTTCAAGTTCGAAGGTTCACGGGGTGTTGTTGCTGTTGTGGGTGTTCGGGGTTATAGATCGTGCACCACAGACTGCAGACCCCGAAATCAAGCCTATCCCGGTAGCCCAGGACACTCGAAGCCAAGACAACCCCCGATCCTATAATCCTTATATACCCTAGATACCCTAGGCTGAGCCCTATACAAACCGTACATGGTTCCCATCATCCCCTACAAACCCTTACAAAACCCTGAACCCTATGGCTATGTGCATCCGGACTGTGCTGAAGTATTGCTGTGTACATTACAATTTCACATGACACTAATTAGCACCATGTGTCTGAGTGTCTGGACTGCTTGTAGCTTCTGGTGAAATACAATAAACGATTCCTCTAGTAATGATGCTGAAGAAACGACTTAGCTAGCAGTCCACGACCAAGCTGCTGCAGGCTGTCTGTCTTCGATGCCAGACCATCACGCAAGCCCCACAATCTAGCCCAAATATAATACCATAATTGAATTGTTATAGTTGCTTATTTATGATACCCAGGGGGTGGGCTGTGGGCTTGTGCGGGGATGTTTTGGGGATTGTTCTGGGGCGTGGTGGGGGGCTGCTGGGCGTTCATGGTGGCGGGATCCTTGTGGTGTTGTGGCGATGGTAGGATGGCGGGTGGCGGGTAGCTGTGCGGGGGGTGGATTGGGGGGTGGGGTGGGTACCGGCCGGCTTGTATAGCCTCGAAACACCCCGATCCCCTAAAGCTAAGCTTGCTTATGTCCAGCCTGCGGGCGCTTGCAACTGCCAGCAGGACACTGCGACCTGGGCATGCTCATAGGAAAGCTTGCCTGGCTTCGGTAATTCAGTGTGCTCTGCACATACATTGTGTACGATGTCAGATGCCACTGTGAAAGAGTTGGGCTAGTATTGAAAGACGGGAACTCGTTGCTGGTTCGGTGTGAGCATGGCATGCGCCCGTGTGTATGAATGTATATATATGTACTGTAGCTTTGTGCGGCTACAATGGTTCAAGGACGTGTGCCACTTACTGTGTCTTTGTAGGTGTTCTCGACATGTCCGAAGGTGCTAGGAGCCTGCCTAGCAAGCGGTTTTCTTCCGAGACCCTCGCTGCTGGATTGCAAACTCTTGATTTCCAGCAGTGCAAGCTTGAAGCCGAAGAAATGCAAAGAGAGATCAAGGACCCGTCTACTTTATGAGTATATAGCATAATATTCGTTGTCCAGCCAACACAACTCATAATTATTCCGTTTCGAGACATCCTGCCAGGAACTGGAACAGTCTTTGGGGGCGGCACCTCCTGTGGGTGTGCCGGCCGGTGTAAAGCGCCAAGCCAGAACCCCCGGCTCAGTGGATTCCAAGCAAGCCCAAACCCCGAACTCCGCCGTTCCACCCGCTCGCAAAAGACGTAGCGAGGCCGAAGCCAGCTCCATGAGTGAAGATTCCATCCCAAGCACCCTCCGGCCGAAGGCCTTGTTTGCAGATTCCTTGATCCCTCCTGATTTGGGCAACGATGCCCAGCTTCCGCCTGACTACGTGGATGAAACGCAGGTTGATGGTCCGGGCATCGATCCATACTTGGGTGCCGTTCAGGTTGGATGTCTTTGAGTTTCAATTCTGCCAGGTCCCTGTAGCAATGCTTTTAAATGCATTACTTGGAAGGGCAGGGGACTTAGTAAGTAGGTTATAAGTATATAGGTTATAATTGGGGTAACTCCATTTAGGGTACTTACAACTCTATACTCTATATACTTATTACCTACTTACTAAGTCCCGTGCCCTTCCAAGTAATCTGTATATAGGATGTTTAAACAATATCAATTGCCGTAGACTAGGAAAGCAGCCGGAAGCCCCTAAACCCTATATAATTATATATACCCTAAACCCTATAAAACCCACACTATACCTGCAATCCCAATAACTCCGTAATCCCCGCGATTCCTTGTAGGGCCCAGACCCCGCTGCTGCCAGGAGCTTTCGGACGATGACGATGAAGCTTTGGCAGGAAACCTCCGGCAGCTGTGCTTGGCCAAGGGTGAGGTTGAGCAGCGTCAGGAGGGCTACGTGTCTCGGCTGGGTACAGTCGAGGAGACTCGTGCTGTTGCTAGCTTCAATGACGGCTACAATAATGCCTTTCACGAACTCGAAAAGCGCCTGGACAAATGTGCCGACACCGGCTCCACATCCTCGGCGGGACAGGTGTCTGAACTGACTGCTATGCTTCAGAAGCTGTCGCTACAGTTGCAAAAGCAGAGCGAAGTCATGCAGAATCAGGCTGATCAGATCCAAGAACTCAAGGCAAGCAAGGAATCGGACACCACGGAGGCCCCAGCAGCAGCCGCCCCAGCAGCAGCCGCACCAGCAGCTGTTCCGGAGCCTCCAGCAGCGGAGGATGCCCCCTCTTTCGAGGCTGCTAAGCAGAGACTCAGGCGGATGTGTAAGCCCCGAAAGGATGGATCGGTGGAGGTGCCCCAGAATGTGCTGGAAGAATGGCACAAAAAGGGGACGGCCAGAACAGCTTTGATTCGCCTGTTCATGGAGAAGGGATGTAATAAGGACTGTTGAGCATGCATAGTATATCTCAGTAGCATTGCATACCCGACTCTACTGTCCTGGAATACAAACAAAGTTTGAAACCATGCATGCTTCCTGCAGGAAGCATTGTCTCGTGAACTACAAGTGAAGAACGAGCGCAGCAAGGAGGTTCGTGTTGAGCGCAGCGGAGACTTTTATTCCGAGGAAGATCTACGAGACATCAAAAAGGTACCGGAGCCCCTCTTCTGATCTAATATACGTACCCCAGAGCCCTTTTAAGACCCAAGGTAGTAATTATGCTATACGTATGCAGTGTATACACTTTTCCTTTGATACCCCGCACTCCTGTATAATCTCCATGCAACATTCCTTTAAAAGCTTCGATCCCCGCCTCAGGCACCGCATCCAGGAGATCAAGGCCCACGCCGAGGCCAACCCACAGTTCAAGCTGAGCCTGGACGGCAAACATACTTGATTTCCCAGAAGCCCATGTATATAAATGATGTTTTGCTATCCGAGGAAGGATACCTACAACTCCAAAAAGGAGCTTTTCTGGTACGAGGAGAAAGTCTCCGCGAGTATCACCGACCTGAATTCCATGACAACTACAGACACCACGACTATCCAAGCCGAGGTCGAGGAGGATGCCGAAGGCAATGCAGTACTTGGACGAGGTGTTAGCTTCGAACCCAGCACAATGCTTGGCTCCATGGATTTGGGCAGTGCCAATCCCGGCGCTGGAATCTTGTTCCCCAGCTTAGTGAAGCTGAATTTACAGCCATCAAACCCAAATTTAAGCCCTATAATACCTATTCACTTTAATGAATAATATTCCCTCAGACACTCAAACCCCGGAGCTGATCATGACACTAGGAACTCACCTCCAAAGGAGAACTCAAAGCCCCTGGGAACTAACTTGCCAGCAGCCTATAGATTGAAATCCTGGCCCGAACATTGCCATATAGTTGTTGTCTATACTAGCCTTGAAGCCCCAGTGCAACGCCAAAATGCCCGACTAGCCCGACCCAGAGACTGGACCACCCGGGACACGATAATCCCATCCTCGTTCCCACAATTTGCAGAAATATTTCCAATCTTAAAACACGGAATAGCAAACCTTCGAAATATAGTTCGACCTCGGTGACCGATCCTACCTGAAGTATGCAATCCCACCTAGTGTGCTCCTAGGGAGTTTCTAGGAATCTAGCAATTATAGTAGTATCGTCGCAACCGTATGAACCCTACGACACAGCAAGTGTGTTTGCGGCTTCTGCTGCATTATGCAGTTATCGCATCCCCAAAAGCCAATAGACTGTGAACTGCAACCGGTTCTGTTTCGGGTAGCCTGCCTGGAGCCGAGGACCGTCCCCTTCGGGAGGCATCGATATGGAACATGAGCTGCAGCTTCCATCCTTGGAGGGTGGCAAAAAGCCATCTGAGGTGCTCAGTGCCTATATGAGGGGGCTCCTGAATCGCTCGACTAAGTTGTCGGATGGTTTGTCGAAGATGGCAGCTGCTGGTGAATTGCCGGATGCAGCCAAAAAGCCCGACCCCTACTGGCCTATGTGACCATAATCAGAATATGCATATGCAGGGCCCATTGCCACATTATCCATGCAGGTGAATGGTATTGTACGTGCAGCATGTTAATTATAAAGTATAGTATATACACTATAGGTAGGCCGATTCTCGGTATCGTGGTGCAGTGGGGCTTCCTTAGGTATGCAATCCCAAGGCACTGCAGTACAGACATGCAATATAATGTTCTATTCTGGTTTTCCTGAGGCTGAAGCAGAAGATGCTGGCTACAAGCGAAACCCTCGAGAAGATTCAGGACAATTTGCAAGAGTTGTACAGCGAGGGAGCTGTTGAAGGCTTCAGTCCGGGGTATCTTGGTGATGAGCTACTGTATGCAGTTGTCGTGAGCTACATGGGCCTTTCTGTAAATAAGATAACTTGCAAATGAATGTCCAAGGCAAGAGAAGAAGCTGGTGGAAATGTTCAAGCATGCCAAGAAAACGTTGCTCAGCTCATACTAGAAACATACTAGTAGGTTATTTGATGAGTTGCATGAACTCAACATGCCCTGGTTGAATCTAAGGGCGATGGAATCTCTGACTTTGGAAAACCGCTGCAAAGCAGCAATTCCGAAGCGCCGTGCGGAGTCAACCAACAAACCGAAAGCAAAGGCCAAGCCCGCTGCCGCTGCCCCAGGCCCAGCCCCCGACAAAAGGCTCAAGGGCAAGCAAGCGACTTCGTGATTGGTTTTCGAATCTTGTTCGTTGGCGGCTGCAGTGCTGTAGGGGGCGTTGCTGATTTTAGCAATGTAGAAGAGTGCTCGATCTCATGTTTCCAGAGCAACCTGCAGCTGCCATGTTCCGAACAAGTTTTCTTGCTACGATGCAAGGCCCATGCTGGGCATGAGCTCTTTCAAGATACCGGTAGGTTTTGTGGCACTGCTGGTAGATCAGCTCAAAACAGACCTGCCTGCAATTCCGAAATCCCGAAATTGGAAGTGACCTATCACCCCTGTAGTATATCCAATCTACCCCGAACGCAGGTCTCGGGCCCACTGCGCGGAAGCTTGTGCACGCTCTGGCGAAGGGGGTTCAGGGCTTGGTTGTCTTCAAGTTGGCGTCTGAAAGTTGTAAGTAGGATCGTATTTGATAAGCAACCCACATCATACATCCTAGAACCCTTATAAACCTTATAAACCCATTAAACCCTCCTCAGGACTCGGCTGTATCCGTCGTCGAGCTAGCGCAAGCGCTGGAGCAGGAGAACCCGGGCATCCTGAAAGGCATCCGTCTTCTGAGTCATGTAGATTTGGCCCACGCCGAAGAAAGGCTACACCACATCATACGACAATGGGCAATGACTGTGCCAGTTCCATTCTATATATGCCAGAAACTTTTGCTACGCGAGAAAGCCCTGCTATCGCAGCCAATGGTGCTGGTCCGTAGTTGGTTCAGGTATTTACTTACCAACCGCTCTCACCTGCTTCTTGGTGGCTTTCGTTTGGATGAGCAACCAACTAAGCGATTTTTGGAGGCTTTCTGGAATATGTATCGTTCGGAGCACCCAGACCATGCAGTATTCAAGGAGCATGGCTCCCGTCTTCATCGCTGCATCCCCTTCACACTGTTTGGAGACGAAGGACGATCTTTGAGGAAGTCTCCCATACTGGTTTGTGCAATGGAATGTATATTTGGCCAATCCACGATCCATCGCTTCAAAGATGCTCTGAAAGCTGGTGCTGCCCTCAACGAAGAAACCCTACTGGATTGCATGATGCATACCGGAAGAGGATCATCCTTGAACAGTCGTTTTCTGTTGTACGGCTTGCCACACTCAAGCTACCGTGGAAAGCACCGGAAAGCATTCTGGTACGATTGTTGGAAGATGGTTCCTGAGTCATGCCGTGAGCTTTTCTACCAGGGAGTCGAGTGCCGTGGCCAGCAGTTTTTTGGCGTCTGTTTGGGGCTGAAGGGCGATAGCCCCGCCCAAGCGAAATTTGGCAGCCTTACAAGAACTTTTATGCATCTGGGACGTGACAAGGGGGTGTGCTGTTGGTGTATGGGAGGAACAGGCAAGGACTTATGGACAGATTATTCAATGTAGCTTTTCTGGGTGCAAATAGACTGTAGTATTTCGAACGCTGTAAAGCTGGTTTACCTGGTAATAGTTTTTGTACAACCGAAGGCAATTAATGTGGTTTGTAAGACGGGGCTTCGGGTACATAAGGGTCTTTTGGGAATATTATACTAGGGTCCTTAGGGAATATATATGGGTTTATCGTAGAAACCCTTGTAATAAGGCACCCTCTTTTTTTTTTTTATGCCAACCCTGGGAGGAGCTGCGGTACCGTGGGAGGATGTGAGTTTATCTCCCTCCTGGCTCCCCACAATTGGAGCCCAAAGACCGTGGAATCTGCGATCCCCACCGGCGACCACCCAAATTCCCTTTACTGAGACGGCGCCCGAGGAGCTCTTTCATGCAGACATGTTCCACGTATTTAAACTTGGGATCGGCCGACATTTTGTTGCATCGACTTTGGTAGCACTCCTGCAATTCGAGTATTTTCCATGCCCCACGAACAATGCCACCGACCTTTTGGCTGCTGCATACACCGACTTTACCCAAAGATGCTCCGAGCTCAAGCAAACCCCGAACTTGAAAGCGTTTACTCGAGACAATCTACATTGGCCAAAGAATTTGACGTTTCCGTGGGGAGGATGGAAGGGCAGCGACACAATGCTGCTGTGCAGGTGGTTGGTCCTCCTCTTTCGTAAGGGCGTGGCTACTGGTGATGGAAATAGCGGATTCCTGTCGCATCCCCGTCTGGCTTCTCATGGGCCTCTCCTGCCTTTTGGCTATGTTATCAGTTGTTGTTGTTGTTGTTGTCCCTTGTTTCGTTGCTTGCCCAAAAATACTGAGGCAAGCGATGTATGATTGTGCTATGAGCGCCTTGATCTTCTTTCAAGTGATACACAAGTGTGGTGTGTGGCTGCACCCTGCTGATGCAAGGAAGGCCATGAACGCCTGCAATCTCTTTTGCTCGGGGTACTCTTTTCTCGCTGCTCAATTCTTTGCCCTCAAGCTGCCAAGATACCATCTTGAGCCGAGTTTGCATGTCTACAAGCACACAGCAGTTCGCATGGATCAACAGTTGAAGAAAGGTGCTGGCCGCATCCTCAATCCGGCCGTATTTCTTTGCGAAATGTCCGAGGACTTTGTGGGCGCCGTATCGCGGTTGTCCCGTAGAGTTTCTGGCCGCACATGCGGCTCAAGAACATTGCAACGTTTCTTGATAAAGGTGCATCTGCTTTGGTCAGCAGGTGCATCGTGACTTCTATAGGTCATTTGAGCCAGATTGTCTTAAGGTGAGGGCACGTTACCATATTAGATAATATAGGAACTACAATAGTCGATAAAATAACCCTTTCTGAAATGGCCCTGCTGACAATTCAAGCCTAGAGTCTGCTGCATGGACGCCAGCACGAGGAGCATCATCGAGGCATGCAAAGGCTTGCTTTTGCAGATCGAGGGTTTTGTCAGGGTTCGAGGGTTTTATCAGGGTTCTTAATACAGTTTATGTAGGGTGTGGCTTTCTCAGTTTCGGGGCTACCTGACAAAGACCCCCAAGAGGACTGGAATACACCCTACAACACTGGAATGATATCCGAAACCCTAAGCTCATGTATCCGATAGTTCTTTATGGTACCGGTTTTTCTCGAGTAGGGACTACATATCTCTCACAATGGCTGATCGATGTTTTGGGGTCTCAAGCTCATGTATCTGTGGCTGTTTTTCTTTTGGCTTGTTCAAAACAGCCCTAGGGCTATTGCTGCTACACGTAACCGGTGAGGCTGAAATAAGCGGCCCAAAGGGAGACCCAGGTACTAACCACCACCACTGCCTACTACTAATGCCAGGACCACCACCAACAACAACAACAACGACAACAACAGCACCACCATCACTGCTGCTGCCACTACGACTGCGATAGGACACAGTGTCGAGGCATTCTGCGGAACCAGGCGGCTTGGTTACAAAGGCTAGATACCCAAATCTTCGGGCAAATGGCGAGGCGTCCGCGAGGCACTTCGCATGGCGACCCGCAGCCCGCACTAGACAGAACGCCGAGCCAAGATTTCTTCGGAGGATAAGGGTTCAGGAGCTTTGTGCTTGAGAAGCTTGCTGTGTTGAAGTCTAAGTCTGAGGTTGCAGGGGCAGTCTCATCTTTGGCGAAAGCGTCGCGCTTGCGCCAAACGTGGTTATAACCGCTAAGACCTCTACAGATGATGCATACCGCCCTTGAAAGGAATCATGTGCGTTGACATGTGAGCTCATCTGAGTTAAGATCAGGATGATGAATATGAGTCAGAATAAGGTGATGAACAAAGCGGTAACAACGACGATGATTACAATGGAGATGAGGCTGGTGATGATGACGAGAAAGAAGAGGGCAGTTGGGCATAGGCTTCAGCTTGTCTAGGCGAGTCGAAGGAGCTACTTCGGGGCCTGCTCGATCACCCACAGGTTGCTATAAAGGTTAGTATAGGACTTTAGGGTTCCTGTAGCGCTTGCGAAAAGAGTTACTCTAGGGTCTACCATGAGGGTTGCTGTAAGAAGCCATTATGCACACTAGGCCTGGACTTTTCGAGTCAAAGGCTGCAAGCCAGGTTTGAGACCACGTTGCTATCGACATTTCTTCATTGCTTTACGCTTCTGTCCTAGATTCTGCGGCCTGCAGCCTTGCAGCTGGACTTCAAGTAATGGACCCATGTCACACTACCAACTCTGACCGCGGCCCATGGTATTCTTGCTGAAGAGCAGCGTCCTAAGCAAAAGTGGAACCGCAAACCCTGGCTAGATAAAGCACTGCTGCTCTGAAATCGAAAGCCCGGAATCTTAAGCCTGCCCAAACATCAGCAGAATCCTCGATCCTTGTTCACCCACGTGATTCTACCTCTCCTGACCTTTCTGGTCTTCCCATTAATACTGCTTAGACAGGCCTCGAGAATTTCAGCCGCAGAGGGCCGGCGGGTGCCATCCCGGGAGAAACAGGCTGTGGTCAAGCGAACAACCTGCTAAGTTTTGGCTGGTGGGTTCAGGGTTTAGGGTTGTGGTCTTGCGCTTATGGCAGGGCCGATGACGAGATTTACAAGGAGGTTGGTCTCGGTACCGACCGCACTTGTACACTTCAACCTCAAACCCATAACCCGTAAAGCCTAATCTCGAAACCCTGAACCCTATCAAACCACCGCTCTCGCCAACTACCTTGCTAGTGTATCTGAGCCCCGCCACGCCCTCGTCTCTCTCCCCGGCCCAAACCGCTTAACCCGAAGCTGTACAACTCCGAAACCCTCCGACCTCGGCGTGAAATCCAGCAGACCAAGCATCCTGCAGCTGCTGATGAAGCGGCAGAATGCGGCTTGGGGGTATAGTATAGTATAAAGATATGGCGACGTTAAGGAGACACGATATATTTTGTACATTTTTGTACCATCAAGTTTAAGGCCCACTTGATTCTCAGCAACCTACTCAAAGCGAAGGGTAACTAGCTTTTTGTGGGCTTACCGGTGCAGGTAGTTAATTGCAGGGCAATCTCTGATTCCAAGACACAGTGATGATAACGCTTCTTTTGTGTCTTGAGCCAAATATCGGTGATAACGTCTTCGAGTGAAACTGCTTCAAGATGATCTACATAAGAAGGGCCTGGGGGCTCGTGATTTCTCAACTCCCCCCTTGTAGACAGCGTGAAACAGTTACTTACAGGAAACTAGTTCTACTGCGCGGCACTCGGAAACCTAACTCGTCTAACAACTGCGCTTCAGGCGGTTTCAGTTCAGCTGGTGCTCGAGGCGTAAACGCGACTAGCACGACACGGGACTGAAGTGGCCCTTCCCATGGCACAGTGCAGTGTCTAACAAACGGCTGGAAGAGTGCAGGCAGTTCTTCGATGCGACCTGGGCTATTGCAATCACGCTGTGGGCATTGCTGCTCACCAAGTGGATCCTGGACCCATATCTGACCACCCTTTACCTTGGTTAGCGGGTAGACAAAGTTGTACGATCCTGGATCGTTGTACTTGTCAGTGTGCAAGTCAAACTGACAACCTTGGTAAATCGCTACAGCAGTGAAGGTTAGGTTCTTGGCCTGTTGCCGAACGAACCTTGTGAGGACACGCGTAACCCCCCTGAACTTGGACGTATTGCTCCTTAACCCTACTATGCCACCTCCATGTGCATACGCTCCGGTTGTAAATCCCTTACCCTCGGAAGAGACAACTGGGCGAGACGAAGAATCTGGAGGAAGAAGGTGGAACAGCTGCAGAATATTATTTTCTGTCAGTCTGTGTGGCAGGATGCCGGCAACAGACTCAGGATCAGTATCTGCAAGAGGATCTTCAGGAACGAAGTTCTGTGATGGAGCAGCAGGTATCGGGGCATTTGCGGAACCCTCAGACAGGCAAAGCTGTTCCAGCATGGATGGCCACTCTTGGGGGCTAATCACTTTCGTGAACCCATTTGCTCGTTGCTCCGTCGTAGGGCAAAAGGTTATCTCGACGTGCGGCTCTGCGAGTCTCTCACAGATAGACGCTACGTTGACCCTGTGCACCCTAGGCATGTGGCGGAGTTTAGCAGAATAGCCTGCCTTAAGAATGGAAATCACGGTATTATTGTCTTGCCTATAAAACACCGGGATCTCAAACCCAAGGATATCGCCTAAATATTCTTGAAGGTTTTCTACCTCTGAGAACATGGCGGTCGCGAGAGAGATCGTTTCGGCCTCTGTCGTGGACCGAGCTGTGGAGGATTGCTTACGCGATACCCAGTGGAGTGGATACGCGCAGTCTCCGGTCTTTGCAACGACGAGGATTCCAGTCGTGCTTTTCGCTGACAAAGGGCAAGACGCAAAGTCTGCGTCTGTATACACCTCTATCTGGCAACCCAAGTCCTGTTGCGAAACAGACCCTTTTAAAGTCACACGACTTGAGTGATGGAGATACGACACACAACGCAGTAGTTGACGGTCGTCGAATCTATCCCATCGACTCACTTTAGAAGCTAACCTCGTGATTATGAACGAGATGTCTGGGCGAGCAAGTCTGCTGAGCCAGAGGGCTCGCATCAGGATGCGGGAGGCGGATCCGTGTAACTCACCGGTGCTGTTAAGCTCGCTGTCAGTTGCTTGGTTCTCGGGGAAAGCAGGTGACGCTACTTTGCGAAGCTTACTTTTCTCTACACCGGTCATTTCACAATAGAAATCAACAAGTTGCTGCGTGTAAGCAATCATGTCAAATTCACAAGTGGCTACTGAGTCATCACGCGTGAAACTGTGATGCCGCCCTAGAATCCTACAACCATTATTGCCGCCTTGAACAAAGACCTCTGGTTCAAGTTTCACAAGACCACGGAGCTTATGCCAGAACTGGGAATGAAGCTCTACGGGTCCGCTTAAAGTCAAGTCGTCGACGTAGACATTAAGCACTAACTTCTGGGAACCGAACTCGAAAACCCAAGTGCTAGGGTAGGCGGGAAGTTCGCGACCTCCGAGCCTTTTCAACTGAACGGTTAAGTGGTCTTGCCATCTCTTACCCGATTCTGGGTGCCCGTATAGGCTTTTCTCAAGTTTAACTACAAGACGGCTGTCGGGAGGGAACCTCTGGGTCCACTCGGGGAGCCAGAGCTCCCGAGGGATTATTACCCAGGTCTCTCGACCGATCTTCGCTTGCAAGTATGCTTGGATAGCATCTGCCACAGAGGTCGCGTGACCGGGGCGGAGCCCGTAAAAGAGGCAAGCGGCAAGACCTACCAACCCGGTTGGTGTAGTTGCAGTTTCTTCTGAGCCGAACAGCACTGGGTTACCAGAAGCGTCGCGCACTTGGTCCCCCCTAAAGACTACACGGCCTTTGTACTTGTGCTGTGTTGGGTGCAACTCAAAGTGCTTTACACCACAAAGCGTCAGAAGTTCAGCGATTTGGACTCGGCGTCCAGTGTTGCGGCAATCCTGTTTCAGTTGCCACAAATGCATTACGGAATCGTCGCTCCATGTCTGGTTTGAGCGGAGTCCTACACCCTCAGCCTGAACAGCCTCTAAACCTCGAGCATCCTTCAACCATTCGCTCTTAGCAAGATTGCGTGTCACTAACGCATTACTTGACGACAACGAAGGTGTGTGGCGATGGAAGTGCTCGGGGAAGAATGACTCGACTATCAGCTGAGCGACTTGTGAGTTGTAGTCGCTATTGGCATAGGAATCGTCTCCTTTCGACACACTTTGCGAAGTGGACTGGCTGTGCTCGTGTTGTCCAAACAGCTGGAGCACTCGAAGAGAAGTGGTGCTGATGCACGACCGCTTACCAGAGGAGCATCCGCTGAGCATTACTCTTTTCAAGTTCGCGCGCTTCTCGAACTCAATCCAATCAGACTCGTTCCAGAGCCAACCCCCTTCTGGGCAGTCGACTGCAACATGGCAGCCGTTGGAAAGCTTTTCTTCGGCTAGCGAGATTGCGAGTTTCAGCATCTGGCGACACTTCGCCCGGCTCTTTCTGAGCTGTGCTTTCTTACTCGCTCTATGTTCGTGCACAGTTGGGTGTTGTTGTGCTGTTTGTTCAAGGCATAACATAGGCATCCAGATCACAGCGCCTTGCTTTATCTGACCTTTGGCCTGATCAACATGAGCTGGGTCTGAGAAGTCTATCGTTGAAGATCCTATGTTAAGACAATCAACCCCGTACATCGTGCAGGCAAAACCAATCTCGGAGGAGTCGCTGCAGCAGTACTCGACAAGTTGGTTTGTACTCGAAGCCTTAGACCTACGGATCTGGCGATCTCGGGCTACAAAGCTGACATCTGGAACGAACAACTCCTGATTTACCAATGCTCCTAACCCTCCACCAAAGTCGTCGGAATCCTCGTCCGGATGAGCGGGTGATCTTTCTGCAGCATCGGGCGCTATCTCTGCCGGAGGATCGGGACTAAGAGGTGCAGGAGGAGGAACTGGCGTTGGAGGAATACTGACTGGTGTCGGAGGTACCGATTTGATACGGGCCTCGGCGGTTTTGTCGGCACGCACTAACCCATCAAAGCGAACCTTGCACACTGGAGAATGAACCACAGCTTCGCCTTTGCAAGCCTTGCATCCCGGGGTTATCCCGTATTTTATTATACGATCAAGAGTGATATACTCGTGCCGCTTTGCTGGCGTAGAGTCGGGGCCAAGTGGGCTGAACGGCACTTCTAAACCCTTAATGTCCGGAAACTTAGGTTCAGTGAATCCCTCGACCGCACGCTCGAAAGCGGCGCGCATCGGGAAAATCTCTTCACCCTCGGGGACAAACAACTCTTCAAAGGGCACCGAAATTGCAAGATCGTATCCAGGAGTACCGTCTTTGGTTTTCCGGTAATCTAAAACAAGGTAGACCCCTCTAAAGGACTCCGGCCCTGAATCTAACCGATAACCACAAAACAAAGCTGGTGCGGCGGAAGGTTCAAACTTCTCTCGGTGTTTGGGATCAGTCCTGTAGTACACGAGCTGACCTAGAAGTAGAAGACGCCCGGGGAACTCCTCACCGGTGGCGGCTACGTAACGGGACTCCTTACGGTCGGCAATGCTGTGCTTAAGGTTCAACACAAACGTTGCAAATACCGCCGAATGAGCCCAAAGACCAGGTCTTATTGCAAAACCGGCTTGTAAATGTACCGCGCGGGTGACCTCTTGGATCGACCTGATGTCCCGCTCGAGAACAGAATTATGCGGCCAACGATTAGCTAATGTGGGCTCAGAGACCCAAGACATTTGCTGGCAAGCCGATTCAAGTTCTTTCGCGTTGTCTGACTTGAACATGACGACAGGCTTCGACTCCGCGTGCTTACCGGAAAATTGCAAAAGTGCTCTGACTACGTTTTCTGTTGTGCGCCTGACTAGGGGAAAGGAGCGCAAGTAGCCAGAGAATTCATCGCGCACTACAAGCAAGGTCGATTCACGATCCTCTTTGGAAGACTCCTTGAACACGACTACGATGTCCGCCGCGACGCGTTCACTGAACGCAGTGGTTGGCTCTAGCGAACCGCGATCATGCAGCGGGTCATGTCTAAGTTTGTTTGTCTTCCTAGCGTACATTCTGGCCTGTGTACATATTTTACAGGCTGGGTTCTTAGGGAAATGGGCTAATCTGTGTTCACAAGAAGCAGCATCCTTGATCAACCGCGCCGTCTTAACAGCTGGGATTTCTTCTTCACGCTCTGAGTCCGCATGTGCCTCACCGGGCTCGGCCTCAGGAGGCTTGGGATCATCACCTTCAAGCGGTACCTCAGAGGGCCCTGCTGCACTAGATGAAGCGGGAGCTGCGTAATCAGTGAACTCGACTGTTTCTTCGAAAACTGGCACATTACCAT